CCACTGGTTGTCATTTTCTTTTTGATTTTATAAGCAGGAAATGTTTTACAGTGTAAACATGGGGAGGTAAAGTGAGTTCAGCTCACTGGTTTCAGGCAGGACAACAATGAGAGGTAATAAAAGGACGGCAGCAGCAGAGCAGACGAGTAAACAATGTAAAGTAGACCAAAGTCTTTACTCAGTCATCTGAGGGTGATTTCCTGCTCTGGTGTGATGCTGAGCGCCTTACTCATCTATAACTGGCCAATCAGAGGAGGGCTCACTGAGGAATGGAATGACACCTGGCCCCGTCATTGGTCGACACTGGGAACCGACGCATAATCAGTTTCAGTTGGACTAAATGCATTTAATAAGGAATGCCAGTGTCTCTCGTCACTGCACGTCTAATGCAAACTAACCAAAATGTCGCAATCTGGGAAAAACTGCTAAACAGAAACATACTTAAGAAGTGGAAAATAACATCTTCTGCCAAGGACGATGAAAACAACTACGCACACACACACACACACAATATGGGAACAAATGTGTGTTAATGTGTCGCTGAAAGTCTCTGCCACTGACCTCTGCATCCCTGACCTCTGACCTCTGAGGACGAGTGGTCTCTTCCGGTCCTAAATCACTACAACATGGAGGAAACTTTTAAGAGGGTTTCCGTCGCTCAGTCCTCGCTTGTTGTCTGTGCCAAGTTACGAATAATTTAATTTTAGACTTTGAGGTTGAGAGAGGTTTTTATTTTTATTTTAATCAATTGGAGATGCTTATTTTGGTGTTTGAACATGGGCGCTAACGGGAGGTTTGGGCTAAAAACAACCACATATTTCCAATAAAAAACAAGCTAACACATTTTAGACAAGGACTGCTTGGGAGAATTAACTCTAAAATGCATTAAAAAGAGATCTGCCTAAAGTTTCTAGATGCTCTACCCGCTCTAACCGCTGCAGAGTAAGATGTGCAGTGATTAAGCATCCCACAATTACTCCAAAAAGCTCTGCAAATTTAAAGTTTTTTTTTTTCAGTCGCCAGATTAACAAAGTGGCTCAACACATGGTGCAGAAAGCCTGAGCCAACTCTGCAGCAGACAGCAGACGGTCAGTAGTGAGAGCATGACGTCCATCTGTTAGCTTTATCTCCAACATTGTGTTCTCAATTTGCGCACAGCCTATGATCATACATTAGAAACAGCTAATGCTATGTTATGAAGCCGTAAGAACAGTCTGTTGAACACGGAGCTCTTTAACCTTCATACACATGTATTTCACTCTTTAACATCCATTTAATTAGGTGATCCATGTAAGTATTGTTACTCAATTTTAACAAGGATCAGTGTGTAGGGTTAAAGTATGTACCATACGGGTGATTAGATTGGCAATTAAACTGAAAGCACTGTTCGCCAGAACGTGGTATTGGGGAATTAAAACATCTCAGTAAGATATTATATGCCAACAGATCCTCCTGAATGTTACACACTGGACCTTTAAACACCAAAAATAAAATAAAATTTGCTGTTCCACGTCAATTAGAGAGATTACTGGCATGTTGTGTCTGCTAGAATTAGCCAAATATTGAATTATAACTCAACCCAACTCCAAACAAAATTGAATTAAACACTTCTACAAGCAAAACCTTTCACACTGCAACCTTCAGCATGTCACCAATATCACGTTATCAGTTGTGGCTTGTGTATTTGCTCTGTTATAACTTGCTAATTTTACTGTTTATTTCTCATTCAAAAGATCATTCTGTTCTCACGCTCTCCATCGCATTCAGAGCTCAACAACTTTCTGTGTAAAACACAAACAGCCGTGTGACTGTGACAGTAACAGAGTCTTGAAACCGCCGGCCTGCATTCCACTCAAACAGGTTCCTGATTGTCTATATAGGCTCCATTAATGTCCGGTGTAGCCCAACAGACTGGAAGATTAGAGGGTTTAGCAGCACAAACATTCCTCTGAGGTTAAAGAAGAAAACAACCTGATTTTGTATATTTTTAGCTTATAGCTACATGCTAGCACATTCTGAGTTTCTTTCGGTTTTCTCTAAACTGACCTCTGTACTGTGCTGGGCAATTTGTTCTCAAGATTGTACATCATTTCATTCAATAAAGGATTATTGAAGAGGAGGAAAAGCTCTTGACGCTAACTGTCAGTGACCAAGCTTGTTAGCTCGCTCGCTAATGAGACAATAAGTACACAACAACGTATTCCAAAAAAAACATGTTTGTGCCATCAACTTTTGTCTCCTGAGCATTTATACGCCATTCTTTCTGTGTGGAGAAGTTTATACTCTAACAAACAAGGTTAAATAGAAGCTAATGGTGCTACATATCTAATAGTTTACGATAGCGTCCTCCATTTTTCACTCTCAACTCCAAAATTGGCAAAAGTTGAACAAGACACAAAAGGTTAACATCACTTTTAGCACCCATTTTCCCTATTTTCTGACATTTTACAGCCGTTAACCGAGAACATGATCATCAAATTAATTAATATTCAACTAAAATGAACTGATTCGCTTCTTTAAAAAGGAATAATTTGACATTTTGAGAAATAAACTAGTAAAATGTTTTGCCAAGAGAGCTCAGAGAACGATACCACTTTCCACAGTAGACATCTCATATATCAGCCAGTTAGCTTAGCATAAAGACTGAAAATTGAGGGAAACAGCTAGCCTAGCTGATTGCTGTAGCTTCATATTTACTGTACACACGAGTGGTATCAAATCTCTCATCAAGATGTTACACTGTTCCTTTAAATGCTGGCGGGACCGAGCCTTAAAAAAGGCAGAAACTGACAGCGAAAGGACACTTCAAGCCACCCTCATCATCATTTCCAGTACCAATCTTGGGTTTCACCACAACATGCGAGCACATTTCTCCCTGCCAAATCTGCTCTGACTGAGCCCTTCTGATCAGAGAGTAAAGTCCAGTTGAAAAAGCAAACAGAGAAGAAAAGAGAAGGGAAGAACTACCAAATGCAGAACTAGCTCTTCCAAGTTATCCAAAACACAACGTTAACCTGCTGACCTTCCGAGAATGTGAATGTCATAAATAAAAAGAGGCTGTGCCCTTTGATTTCCCCCTTTTCTTTATATGCAAATCATAACCAACCAACCAGCGAAATTCCTCCAAAAAATCGTAGTATAAACTCCCAAGAACTCCATTTCAGGAGATAATGTAAAACAGTGAGCGGTTCATTCCTCGGGCTACTCAGCGCTAAGTTCAGCCGCTCACTAACAGACAACACACAAATGAGGAGATAGTGTTAGTATTGTTGCTGTGTGTGTGTCTGTGTGTGTGTGTGTGTGTGTGAGGCAGCCTGGCTTCCAGCTAAACATTAAGAAAGGGATTTACTTAGAGGAGCTTATTCAAAAGAGCACAAGCAGCCTTTGAACAATCGATTGCTTTAAGAAGACACTGCCGTTTCCTTGCAAACATGAATTGAACAAGCACCGGCGATGAGTGTGAGGACACGTCTTCATCACTCACACTGACACTGGAAGCCTCAGCCTGCAGTCTGCTGCAAGTTCAGTGTTTTTTTAGACTTTTTCCCGGTCTATGTTTCCCCCTAGAGATTCTGTCTCCATGCCCAGGTATGCATACAGTACACCTGAGATGCAAATGTCTCCAGCATTTCACTCCAAACCTTCACTCATAGTGACAAAACGTGACAATGAGCTGTTCGAGCAGCCTTGTGAGTGCATCAGAGCGTCATCTGTAGCTATAACATCCAACAACCCGAGTCCAAACAGAGCGGCACTGCTGTAGCTGTCATGGTTTTATGGCTTCAGAGCTCAAGGTGCAGCATGGAGGCTACTCTAATCCATTAACTGACACCATGGGCAATTACCTTCCCATCATACACAGCGGTGCTTGGGAGCAGATGGCCACCGGCAGCACGGCGTTTTCGAAGACTTCATACAGTTCCACACATGAGATTCTGGGTTAATGTGTTTTAATGACCTTTGGAGCCAAATATCTGACTAAGCACATCATTATCTGCCTGCTGTTGTAATGGTTTAAGCTCCTCTGATCAATACTGCCATCAAAAAACATCTGCTTTCCACCACAGCACACTGAATGTATGCAATACTAGAGATCTCTAAGTGACACTCCCTCAGAGCTCAGAGCTTTAAAATCCCTTCTCTAACTTCCAATTCTCCTCCCTGGGATTGCTATAGATTTAATGAGGACAATCGATAGAAGATAATGGTTTTAGTACAAGTGTTGTAAAAGCTGGTGTGGAGTTAACACTGGAAGAAGTCAGGTCCAGTCTGGAATACATTATGGGAGCCGTGTCAACAGGATCAGCCCACTTGCTGAGGCTCCAGATGTTCTGTGCATTGATTAGTCCCAACACATTCCGTTGTCTCCCCATGCGCAGACCGTCACGCCAGACTCCGTTTAAAAATCCAGACATTTAATATGACCTTACCCATCAGCAAAAGCGCCTCCAAAAACAGGTTTAAACTCCTGTCAGGAAGCTGTCAGTCAAACTCTTTTTCTAAAAGTTATATCCCTGTCTGTACACACCCGCCCTCTAACTAACCCGCCTCACTAAACGCCACAAATGTCCTCCACTTCGTCGATTGCAGCTTGTTACATTACGCCTTCCATTAAATCAATTACTAAAGTTTTTCTCAACATACCGCACCGCTTGGTGGACAACATGTATGCCGAATATCCAATACATCGATGCTATCTCTAAAACATCGCAACTTATGCCACACAGTGCGTTCGCCATTTGGCAGGGATCGATAAATCATTAAATTTGAAGTTTTATGAGCGGAGTCCGGTGTGACGTTCTCTGAGCGAGGGAGAAGGGGAAACAGCGAGGGAGATAAGAAATCACGAGTGCCTTACAAATCTTTAAAAATCCCCACTAAAGCTTTTCCTGCTGGAGGAATTCGGGAAAATGTTGTTGCAGTTTTTTTTTTGTGAAACTTACAAATAAAACATAAAATATGACACAAATGACGCGAAAAGTAACGCAAACGCTTCTTACCTCTGGATTTTCTGGATTGTCTCTCTCTGTGCGGCAGTGTGTGACTCTCTCTGTATTCCTCAAAGGTATCAAAAGTTACCTAAAGTAAGAAAATTAAAACCCGTCCTGTGTCCTTCGAAAATAACCCAAAAAGTTCCCACATTTACATCCTGGTGTGAAGGAAAACTGCTCTGGTGAGTGAACCGGGAGCGGTTGGAGCTGCAGTCGCTGCCCAACTTTACTAACAATATTCCCGCAGACGAAACAAGTAGCCAGGCTGCTTGTGCTTCGTCCTTCCACGCCCAGGAAGCCGGTTAACTACATGCCCGACTCAGGTGTAATTCATGACTACACCAACACACACACGCAGGTTTTAATGGCAGGAGTGTGTGTGTGCGTTGTTTCTGTATCCAGCGCGTAATGCGATGCGCACTCATCCAGTCGGGGTCTGCGGACGGGAGCTCCGCTGTGAACGGCGCGATACGCAACAAAACTGGGGAGTATCAGGATGATCCTCCTCCTCCCTAATACTTAACCCCCAATGCCTGTAGGTTTACACGAAATCCGCCAAGTTCGCAGGAGTTACCTTGCGTAATGCCGGGAAGTGTGGCGGCCTCTCTTTCAAAATAAAAGCTGTGCGTAGGGGGGATACTTAAAAGCAAGAAATAAGACATGAGCTCCCCTGTCTGTTAAATACTGCCCATATGCTGTTTCTTTGCCATGCATTTGAGAAACCAGAAAGCAGATGTGTTAGTATTAAAATGGTAGATTTTTAAATGGAGTTTGGTCTGTAGAGGTTCAGAGATTTACAAGAATAACTCAGATGGTAGCAGATGTCTGTCTGTACACACAATCTATACACATACACTCTATACTCTTCCAATTATTGTCTCCAAAGTCGTCTAAACACACAACAAACAGTCTTGAAATAAAAATCCAATTTATTGTTTTTAAATGATAAATTGTCATTATCTGCATGCTTCATCCACACTTATATAACTTCCTGAATTACATAAACAGTGTATTTAGACCTTTCTGCACTGATGTGATTGTCAGCATGCATGTTAGAAAATATATAATATATTTTTAATGAGTGATCAAATGGCAGATTTTTAAATGGAGTTTGGTCTGTAGAGGTGCAGAGATTTACATCAGGAAAACTTGGTCCGTATGTTTTCTGACTTGATGCTGCCAGATTCAACTCAGTCCCATGGGTTTAAATTGAAGGCCATTAAAAAAAAAGCAACTACTCCTCTAAAAACCACATGAGAATATAAAAAAATATATAATATATTTACATTTTTAATGAGTATTTATTATTATTATATATTTAGAAGAATAACTCAGATGTAGCAGATGTCTTTCTGTGTCTTTATCATCATCATAACGTTATTAGGGTGTTATTGATGTCTGATTCATGCGTGAGGGTGATTCATCTCTAATTCACTAAAGATACCGACACACACACATACATCAACATTGGCTTGGAAAAGTCCCAAATGAAGATCTCCTAAACTAAAACTAACCAATGTATTTATTTCTAATGCCACCTTTAGATATAGTTTATTCAATGCTTTACTAATGTGCCACAAAAATGTGTGTGTTTTTTTTTTTAATTAATCTAAATTAATGTGTGTTTTGTGACACCAAATTGGGGCGGCAACTTACTAACATTGTTCATATTTTTGGCATTGTGTATATTTTGGATATTGTTTTATACATATTTAATATTTGCACTGTTTTTTGTCTTTGTACTGCAACTACTGCTCATCAGTTTCCCTCAAGGATGAATAAAGTTATATCTTATCTTAGTTTGTCCTGATAGCTGCACAAGTGGAAAGGCCATGTTGTTATCCAAAATAAAGAGTGTGAATGCTCAGCTTTAATCAGTTAAATCAGCTAAAGATCCCTTTGACTCCACGAGAAAAACACTCTTTGTGTGGCTGTGATCGTAACCACAGTATTATTTCTTTATATATGACTCATCCTTGATGGAGAGCTGAAAAATATTGATTTGATGAGAAAACACATCAAATCACAGAGAACCCAATCTATACACATTGTCTTTTCTCTCCCTCATTCAGTTGTTATCTCCAAATTCCTCCGAACACAGAACAAACAACACTGTCTTTGTAATAAAATTGTTGTTTTTTAATCATAAATTCTCATTATCTGCATGCTTTGTGCACACTTTACATCATTTCCTGTCTGTAAAGAATACACGAGCAGTGTATTTAGACTTATTATTGGCCTTGCCAAAGAGGATTTTATTTTGAAAATGTGCATCAGGAAGACTTGGTCCGTATGTTTTCTGACTTGATGCTGGCAGATTCAACTCAGTCCCATGGGTTTAAATTGAAGGCCATTAAAAAAAGGCAACTACTCCTCTAAAAACCACATGGGAATATAAAAAAATATATAATATATTTGCATTTTTAATGAGTTATCACTATGAAAACTCCGCCTTTAACCAAAAAAATCAGTGCAAACAAACAAACTGTTGCTTTTTTCCAACAGATGTTGAGTGTGCTGCAGCTTAATCCACACTTTAGATTAAAAACTACTTTTAAATAGATTATAGGCAGTTTAATTTCCATCCATAATAATCTATTTATACCCCCCAGAGATATCAATTGGATTTATTTTTTATTTCCTATACATTTTCTTTCTCATTTCATTCTCCATCTGAAAATCGAAGCAATCTGAGTAAACCTTCAGAGAGGTCTGGGAGAGTGGTCGCGCTGTCAAGCCCAGTTAAGCGTGCAGTCACCCCCGCTGCTAATTCGAGAGCTTGGTGGGGCACAATGGAGGCTTTGTTGTTGGAGAATTTGTCTGAGAAGTAATCCTTGACACTGGGCCATTCAGGGGCCTAACCTTTTGTTTCATAAGTCTCCTGAATGTTACAGTAGGCACCAGTGCAGTAGAACAAACTTAAAGCGCTGCACGTCGCCCGGTATGGCCGGAGTGAGTAATGTAGAATGGCGTGTGGATGCATGCGTCTGTGTTTCAGAGCATTTGGGTGTGGAAAGGTCAAAGATCATGAGCAGGGAATGAAGTTTAAGGCCATGATAGATGGATTTTTTAAATATATATTTATATGTTTTTGACATTGTCCTTTGTTAACATGAACTGTTTGTATAGAAATACTCACTATTTCCTCCTGTTTGTAGTAATATTTGGTAAAAACTACAATATCCTTTGAAAATGACTACTTATGACTGACTATGAGCTGCTTTTAAAGATCTTCAAAATTGGCAGCAGGGCCGTTTCCAGACATTTTTTGACTGGGGTGGCACAAGGGGGGCACTGCCTTATGTAGGGTTGCCATTAAGTATGTGTCTCAGCTTTCCAGTAATTCACAATTTAAGCAAATTTACCACTGTTTATGGACCCCAGTATGCAGAAATATTCAAATACACTAGATGAAGATAACACATTTGTATCACATGCAAAAAACTGCATTGGATTAGTATAAAGAGTCTGGAAACGCCCCTGATTGACAGGAAAGGGATGTCAGAAAGTAAAGAAAAACTAACACATTGTTGTTTTTGGTCTTTTTATGGGATGTTTTGATCAAAATTATATAACCTATACCCTATAATATGTATCTGTTATAGCAAATTCAATCATTAGACCAATTAAACTTAATGTCTATAGCAGACTTTCATACAGTTTGGTGCAGTTCAAAGTGTTTCACAGGACGATAATGAGACAGAATGGAAAAACAAACTAAGGTGGATTTACGATGATAAAAATTACAATAAAATACAATATATTAGATATTATAGGTTTAATAATAGTGTTTAATTATAAATTTTGTGTGTATATCGTGTGACTTAAGCATTATATGTTACTGTATATGACATGAAATTCTGAAATTCAACACTTTTTAACTAGAAATGTAATACTCTTATTAATTAATTACTCCTAATCTGCTCTGTTGTTTCTACATTTACACACATCTGCCGTGGTGAAACTACAGCGGCACCTCGCTTTAAATGCCACTGCAGTGAGGAATTGTGGGACAGCATTATCTCCTTCCCTTTGGTAAAGGAGGGCCCAGTGTATGCTACGCTAGTGGAGATAAGAAAGCAAGCACTGAGGCGCCTTCCTCTAGCAGCACGCTCGCCTCGCCTGGACAAGTCCCAGCAGCCTTCAGAGAATATACAGGAAGTCAGAGCAATATCTACATCCTGTTAGATCATCTTCAGGCTACCTGTAGTTTACAGACTATATTCAGATCTATAAAGATCTGTTTGTTAACAGATTTAACCTTCATTGGACATCAGTCAACAAATTTCCCATCATGCCCTGGGTCTAAAAACTGCCTCGATCTCGTGAGGTTATCGTTGCCCACGTGTGCACGACGTCTGATCAAGTCGGCATCAAGTCAGACACAAATCTAACCAGCAGGCACTGTGAGGCGATCGCCGGCGACTGATTCTGCACAAGCATGGCGAGAGAATTCAAACAGCTCTTTCCACGGCTGCCGCTCAAACACTTCACGCGGTTAGGAACCTTCCCGAAGACTAAAAAAGACTATTTGAACGCAGCCTGTGTCCCAGAACACACACACACACACACACACACACACACACTCAATCAGGGTGTGTCAGTCATGTTATACTGATAGACTCATTAAGTGCCTAAATCACTTACTGACTGACTGTCTGACAATCTGTCTATCTGCTCATTTGACTGGTTAATTATCTGTCGTGTGTGTGTGTGTGTGTTTGTGTGTGTGTGTATGATCATATGAATGTGTGGCTGGTTTACAGGGTTCACTGGTCGACTAAGTGAGCTGTTAAACACAGTGTTGGAATGAGCAGGCTTTGTGTGTGTGTGTGTGTGTGTGTGTGTATTTACACTCTATGCTGTCACACGTACACACACTCTTTGATGTGACACGCTGACGTCTGTCAGTACACATTACATAGACCCGGGTCGGCACGCAGAGACACACAAACACACACGCTGTTATTTCTTGTGGGCTTAAACAAAGCTTGTTTGCCGTTTCTGGCCATGTTCAGGCTCCCTAACCCGGTCAATATTTATCACTTCTGCAAAACCACAGATTACGTTCAGTGTATCGACGTTTCTAAGATTTAGATAGTCAGTCTGGACTTCACAAAAGCTTGTTATGTTGTGGTTAGGGTGTTGCTGGATCAGGGTACTGGCACCTTTTTGGGTCCAATTCAGGACCTGGATTCCCAAAAATATATGATCTGCTACTACCAGGAGGCATAGCTTTAATTAGCTTTAATTTTGTCTACTTTAGGACAGGACAAAGATGGACCAGCACGTGTTACCTGCGTGTCACCAGATCTGTGAACAGAACCACGATGGGAGGAAGAATCGAGGAAGAAAAGTCCACCATCGGTCAAAGACGATCCCTTTTCTCCCTGGCAAAGTCAGCGTACCAGCCTGCTGTTTTTCTAAGGCTATGAAAGCGTTGTCTATATGCTTCAAACACCTGCTCATAAACTCACAGAATTGCACCCTTTACGTTTTCATAAGAAAGTCTGT